GGGGTCATGTAGATCTGATAGGTCATGTGAAGTAGGGACTAGGGTTTCTCTCCTGTCTCTAGATTAAGGCAGTTATCCCACCATGGGGGATGTGGTCGCAAAATCCTTTTGTGCACCAGGGATGCATATACCCAAAGGATTCACATCCATGCAACAAAGACATCTGTTCAACTTTGTTCAGAGCAGCACTATTTGTAATAGAAAGAACCTGGAAGAAACCTAGATGCCCCTCAATTGAAGAATGGTTAATGAAGATGTGGCACATCTACACAATGGAATACTACTCTGCAGAAAAAAATAATGGTATCTTGAAATTCACAGGCAAGTGGATGGCGCTTGAAGAAACCATCCTGAATGAGGTAACCCAGTCAAAAAAAGAGGAACACAGTATATACCAGTATGTACTCACTCATATATGGATTTTAGATCTAGATCAAAGGATCTCCAGCCTATAATTCACACCACCAGAGGAACTAGGATACAAGGTGTATTCTAAGAGATTCATATAAAGTCCCTCACAGAACTGGGAAGGGACAAGTCCCCCAGAGCTCAGGGGAAGTGGGAGGTGGCCGCTAATGGAGAGAGAAGTAGGAGAAAATGAGGGGGAGGAAAGGAAAACATGTGTGACCAGGAAGATTGAGCCTGGTTAGGAATAGAAGACAGGAAAGAGAGAGAGAGACAGAGACAGAGAGAGAGAGAGAGAGAGAGAGAGAGAGAGAGAGAGAACATAAAAGAAGGAGCCAATATTGGTTTGAAGATAAAATTGAACACAAAGAAAGGTCTAGAGAACTACAAGACTGCTGCCAAATAACAATTTGAGCTTCCTTAGAAAGGTTACCATAAATGCCCTTCCCGTAGAGTGAGATCAACAACTAACTTATCCATGGAGCCCTCAACTAATGCCTGTTGGAAACAGGAGCAATCACCCACACATAAACACTGAGTTGAAGTAGAATTCAGATGCAGATGGAAAGGACAAGACCATGGGACAGAAACACATAGAGACAGCATACCATAACATGATGGAGCTAAGGGGCCACCAGACTGATAGCTGGGAAGCCAGCATGGGACTGACTCAGGCCCCCCTGATTATGGGTCTCAGCCAGAAGGACTGAGCAGTCTAAGGGCCTCAATCTAATGTTTCTATGCAGAAAAGGAGGCAGAAAATTTGAAATAGCCAGAAGTAGTGGATGAACCACATAGACAGTGTTTTGTAAACACAGGAGTAATGGAGAGCTCAATTCACAGAGCCTATGACATCATGTCCTATATGATCACAACTTCAAGCCACACTAAATCCAAGCATAAAGCAAGTAAGTGGGCCCAAAGTCCCTTCACCAAGGACCTAGTTACAATTGATATGTGCTGTGTCAGAAGAAATCTGTTTTCTTTAATGGAGGGACACTGGGTATATTAACCCCACACCAAGGATGACATCATGCCAGGATAACAGAAAAAGACTTGAGTGTGCATGTTTCTTTTTGAGCACGTACTTTCATCATTTTTTTTTTCTGGTTGAAAGGATTTATATTTCTATTCTTATACAAAGGCTAATCATTTGATTAGAGATTCATGAACTGTATGTTTCTACAGCAGGTTGATTGAATTGATCAGGAAGTCATTTATACAAGAAAGCTACATCTGTGATGCAATCGGTTAATCTGGTTGTGCAACACAGTCTTAAAAATCGCAATGTCTTTATATCAATTTTCAGTCTGTAGAGTGAAAAGGACCAAATGATAGTAGATAGCATTTACTTTTTACTCTGTTCTTATATTTGTCCACTTTAAATGTGTATTTTTATGTCTTCCCTATCCTTTTTGTAATACAAAACTTACCAAGATAAAACCATGTAATTTGAAGCCCTTTCTTATTTAATACTTTTTCTTACATAGGCTAAGCATCTAACTTCCATAAAATGAAGACGCTCATCAGAACCACGATGACCATGAAGTTGAAGGCTTGGCATGCCCCCAGTCCATAGCAGGGAAACTCATACAACATATTTGAAGGCTCTAAGTGTGATTACTCCTTTTAATTCCTACTCATTTCTCTCGAGACTATTTTTCTGCAACAAAGAATAATAATCTACTCAATAGTTTAACAGAAACATAGTCAAATAGTTTTAACACATGAATCAAATAATTTAGAAGAGCAAGAAACATAATTAATGAAATGATACTTGTTTGTGCATGTTTATTATTATACAGATCATTATTCAACACACTTTTCAAAAGAAAATGATACTTGTAATCTTAACTTAAATAACATGTTGCCAAATACTTGTGGACAATGTATTCAGACATATCTTTTCAATTTAAAATAAACTTGATAGGAAAAACATGTTAATTAAGTAATTTTCTGCCAGGAGCTTATCAAATCTTTAAAAACTCATCAATTAAAAAAGAGCAATTATAAATCTGTATTAAACTTGTTATCTCAGTAAAGGCATTGATAGGTTGTTTTCTTTTGACTTTGATGGCTTAGTTTTCCCATGAACTTCAAAATCTGCCTTAGAGATTTGACATGCTAACTTTTGTCAAGTATTGCTTTTAAATTGCTCTCTTCCTGAATAGAGAGAGTAAAATGATTTGGTTAATTAAGAAATATAGAATGAATATTTTATGCCTCTATATAGAGAAAGCAGTATACAAGTACACATATCTGTGTATTAAAATATGGATTAAAAATGTATAATGTAGCCAGCTGTTGGTGGTGCACATCTTTAATCCCAGCACCCAGGAGACAGAGGCAGACAGACCTCTGTGAGTTCAGCCTAGTTTATACAGTGAGTTCCAGGACAGCCTCCAAAGAAATATAGAAATACCCTGTCTTGAAAAACAAATGCATAATGTATTAGGGAAATGAAAGGTGTAAATGCTGCTGTTGGATCTGAGACTTACTTGTTTTACTAGCTTCCTCATTAATTAAAAGTACTCCACATAAAAAGCCATAGTTTCATTATAGGTAACAGAGTAACATTTTTCTTCATTTGCCCTATGGTCATAATAATTAAAATATTATATATTGTACTCTATCTGGTGTGTGTGTGTGTGTGTGTGTGTGTGTTTAGTTTTGCTTTCATTTTTTCTAGGCCAAATTTCTTTGTGTAACAGCTCTCTGGCCCAGAACTTATTTTGAAGACCATGCTGGTCTTGAACTCAAAGAGGTCCACCTATAAGTGCTAGGATTAAAGGTGTGGGCCACCATTGCCTTACTGTTTTATATTTACAAAAAATGATTTAGTTGTTTTGCTTCACTTAACTTACACAGAGCAATAAAGTCTTCAGATTTTTATCAAAATTTTGTTTTCAGAGAGTCTAATATAATTGTAAATACATCTTTCCTTTTTCTTAAAATACACATGAATTTCACAAGCAAAAAAAAAAATGGAGAAATGACACACATATATGGAGGTCATGTAGTTCTAGTTCTTTCCACCCCTATGAAAATATATGACTAGAAAATTCACTATATTCTCCTAGAAATCTGAAGGCTTTGCTTTTCATTCCACAGACTCCTGAAACAAAGACTCCTGAAACCCCAGCTCCTGAATTCGAGACCCTAAGATATATGAAGAATCTTGCATGATATGTAATCATTCTCAAGTTTTCTCTGGCAGGAGAGGTAGCAAGCTGCTTCAGTTTGTGTTGGCCCCTCTAATATGATAATCAAAAGATCATTGTATCCAAATACAAGTGTCTGTGTGATGGGAGATGTCATTCTGTATATGTTTCGCATACTGGTTAATGAATAAAGCACTGTTGGCTATTAGGAAAGGAAGATAGGAGAGGCTAGGAGACAAGGAGGAAGGAGGAAGTGGTAAGGATTCAAGATGGAGAGTCTGGAGGGAACAGAACTGCCATTCCTCTGCTCTCGGTAAGACCACGTGGAAATACATAGAAATGGGTTAATATCTAAGACAGAGCTAGCCATAAGAAACTAGTACCTACCCAACAGAATTATATTTAATACAGAGTCTCTGTGTGTTATTTGGGGCTGGCGTGGCGGCGGGACAAGACCAGCCTCAGCGGGAGGAAAAACCCTACTCCTTACATCTCTGGATACTTTCTTTGTTTCAGTATTAGGTTAATACTCTTAGGAGTCTTTGAGACTTTGTCAAATACTTAGGAGTTAAGAACTCTTTCTTTGTGTTGATACAGAGTACATTATTTGTTGTTGTTTATTGTATATTATAATTACATTCAGCTTTTAAGTATCACTCAATTTCTGTAGATTTTAAACATACCGTAGAAGTAGTTTTAGAAAATAACTGCATGCTTTTGCTTTTGTTGTTGTTGTAGATTCCATGCTTTAGCTAATACAATTTAAACATTTTAATTATGTCTCTTTTCCCTTTTCCTTTCCTGCCTCCAGTCCCTCTAAACTCTATCCCTCAAGCTACTGCTATGTCCCACAATTCTACTTAACCTTTAATTATTGATACATATAAATGTATTTGTATGCAATACTAGCATGTGTGCATGTGACACAGACACACACACACTCACATAAACACACACACACACACACACACACAAATTGCATGTTTTGTTGTTGTTGTTTCTATATGTATGGTTTCATGGCTGCCCACTTAGTTTTGTATACACAATTACGGCAGGAAGACACTATCCCTCCTGCTCTAACAGATAGCATTTTAACTCATGAGATTTTTCTTCTTCTGTGATAGGCTATCCATTGCAATTTCCATGTATTCAATCTTGTTCATATACAGAAGAGGCACAGCAGACTTTCTGGTACTCTGGCTCTTAGAATCTCTCTCCATCCAAGAATTTCCCTTAGCCTTACATGCAGAAGCAGTGATGTCTGAGACATCAATGATTCATTATAATTTTGTCTAGTGGTGACTTTTTTAAAGTTCTCTATTCCCTTTAAAGAGAAGCCTCTTTAATGGGAGGCAATGGCTACACTTACTGTGGGTATATGGATTTAAAATGTAGTTAAGAATTATGCTGGTCTCGGAAGAGGAGGAGGCAGCCATGGAATTGGGCAAGCTGCTGTACAACAAGTTCGAATACATCGAGACAGCATCTGGGAACAAAGTTAGTCGCCAGGATGTTTTGTGTGGAAGCCAGAATATCGTTCTCAATGGCAAGACAATTGTAATGAATGACTGTATCATCCGAGGAGATCTGGCAAATGTAAGAGTTAGACGTCATTGTGTTGTAAAAAGTCATAGGGTTATAAGGAAATTCAGTAAAGGTGTTGCATTCTTTCTTCTACATATTGGGGACCATGTCTTTATTGAGGAAGACTGTGTGGTCAACGCTGCTCAGATTTGTTCTTATGTTCACGTTGGGAAGAACTGTGTGATTGGGCGCCAAAGTGTCTTGAAAGACTGCTGCAAAATTCTTGACAATACAGTATCACCTCCAGAAACCGTGGTCCCACCATTCACCGTCTTCTCAGGCTGCCCAGGACTCTTCTCAGGAGAGCTCCCAGAGTGCCCGCAGGAGCTGATGGTTGATGTCACCAAGAGCTACTACCAGAAGTTTCTGCCCATAACCCAAGCTAAAGTCTCGGCTTTATATCTTGAATTCCTTTGAACTCTAAGATGAACTGGGAGATAAAGAGAGCAGTCAGTAACTAGAAAAGCCTCCGTGCTTTTGACCACTTCTACTCTCCTTGATTTTTGTTTTTAAAATTTAGAATTTTTCAGTCCTTCAAGACTCAGAGCATTTAGGAATTTAATAGGAAGGCTGGAGAGATAGCTGTTACTAGGAGTACTGTCTGCTCTTTCAGAGGATCCAATTTCAGTTCTCAACACCCACATGGCACCTTATAACCATCTGTAACTCCAGTTCCAGATGATCTGATAGGCTTCTGGTCTCCCTAGCACCAGATATACATGTGGTACAGACATAATATGCATCCAAACATCCCATCACATAAAATACATTTTTTAAAGAATAATTTTAATAAGAGAGCATCTGAAGGAGTTGTCTTTATCTGCTGTGCTTACACCTAATCTGTCAACAGTCACCGTACCATTCATTGTCTGAGGAGGGCAGAAAGGTCTTTTCCCAACACTCCAGCCCTGTGGTCCTGCAGATGGCTGGAACCTGGATGGCATGGGCCTGCAGAGCAGTAGCATCCTCTTAGCATGGGGTCATATGCCCCAGGTGCTACTCACAACCATGTCCTACTCTCACTGCACACCACCCACTCAGATGACATTCAGCAATCCTGCTGCTAACATAGGACCAGTGGCCACAATTTCTCCTACCTTGAGGGAAGTGTTTGTGATTTCAGAGCCCAGGTTCCAATTGGTTCTTAAAGTGTGGGGAAAAGAGATGGGCTGTAGTCATCCTAGAACCTGTGAAGTAGAGTCAGGAGTGAGCTCACAGTTGCCTGGTGTGCTACATGAGACCCTGCTTCAAAACAAGAAAAAACAAGTCAGTAAAAGAAAAGAAAAAATGTGAAGAGCAGGTGGTAGCTGTTGTTCTTCCTTTCAGAGAGACCTTAGCTGTCCTAAAGTAGTAAATAAAAGATGTAAAAAACAAACAAAAAAAAAACAAAAAACAAAAACAAAAACAAAAACAAACAAACAAAAAAAAGAATTATGCTGGTCTCAAAAAGTGCTGATAATAGACTCTCTTCTAAAGTTGTTGCCCTCACTTCCTCTGGGAAATTGACTAGGCTTTTCAGACTAGGCACTGAGTGGACCATAAGTTCAACTAGGCAGATATTGGTTACAATAAACATGTAAGTACCACTTAGTGCACCTTAATGCATATCTTTATTGTTTCAGGCATTACATTTTGCCGTGACAAAAAAACATTTCAAAATACTTCCAATAGCTATATATACATATATACATATATATATATATATATATATATGTGTGTGTGTGTGTGTGTGTTTATTATGTATATATATATATATACATATATATATATATATATATATAACTTTTGAATAATATCTTCAGAATAAATTGCTCAAAAATATCTGTCTAAGTATAACAACCTCCACTGAGGGAACATCATTGAAAATATAACACAATTTCCTACCTAGATTATATTGTTCATTTTTTTATCTGAGATATTTACAAATAATTAATAGAGTTGAAAGGAATCTCTAGTATGGGAGTGTTTCTCTTCTGTTGTTTTCCTTTCAATACTTCATTTACTAATTTCTTTTGCATGTTCATATATGTTGGTGGGTGTGTATCTATGCCACACAAGCCAGATGCCTTGAATTATTTGGGATCATTAGAATACAACCTAAAAGGGTTGGTTCTTCCATCATTGAGTTAAACGGATTAAAGTATGATTATCAAACTTGCTAGCAATTACCTTTCCCATATGTTATGTTCAGTACTAGAGGAAAGTAGTTCTATCTATGATTCTAAGTTTAGTTTTTCTCTGCATTAAATATTTTATTTATGGAAAAGCTAATTCATATATGTGTAAAAGTATGTGTATGAGTGAGCAGGTTTGCTGTGTTTCTTAGTTTTTGTATGGTTCTTAAAACAGTAAAAATTGTCCAAATGAGGAAACACAATGAGTTCTACTGTTCTGTGAACTTACATATCCACATCACTATTTCATGGCTGTGATTCACATTCTCTCATGCTTACATCTGCCTACCATTGGACTGAAGGAAACATCCTTGTTTCCAATGATTATCATTGGAAGCTTCACTTACGATATTTTTCATAAGTGAGCAAGGTAACATGTGTTACCCTGACAAGAACCTTCTGCTAAAGTACATAGTGTGGTGGAGATAAGTCTGAAATTAAGAGCACTGGCTATTCTTTCAAAGAACCAGTGTTTAATTACCACCATTCAAATGACAGCTCACAACTTTCTGTGAATTCCTGTTCTGGGGCTCTCAAATAAGAGCGCAAAACAACCATACAAAGAAAATGAACATTTTTTTCTTTTTTATACATGTAAAATTTTATTTAAATTTAAAACAATCTTATTTTACATACCAATCCCAGTTCCCTCTCCCTTCCATCTTTCCTTCCCTCCCTGCAACCCCCTATCCCATCTCCCCATTCACTCCCCAAGAGGGTAAGGTCACCCTCTGGTAGCCGATAATCAAAATATGTCACAGCGTCTGGGGCAGGGCCTAGTCCCTCCACAGTTTATCTAGGCTGAGAGAGTATCCGTCCAGAGAATGGGCTCTCAAAGCCCATTGGTGCAATGGGATAAACTCTTGTTCCACTGTCAGAGGCCCCATGGACTACCCAGGCCTCCCAACTGACACTCACATGCAGGGGGCCTGCTTTTGTCTTTCCATAGTTCCCCAGCTTTCAGACAAAGATTTATGAGTTCCTATTTCCCCAGATCAACTGTTTTTGTGGGTTACCCCAGCAAGATCTCCTGAGCAAATAGGGAACAAGGGGGTTTGGGGAGATAAGAGAAAGTGGAGGGGAGAAGTGAGTGGGGAGGAGAACATGAGAGATCAGAAAGATAGGACAATTGAATAAGGGGAAGAATAAGGAGAAGAGCAACAAAATAGATACCTTAATAGAAGGAGCCATTATAGGTTTAAAGAAAATTAACATTTTCTTAAGGGCATGGCTTTGGAGGATTCCAGAAGTCCACATGAAATGTTACAGTACTATACGCTGGTGATCCTTTGCTCTATGTCTAAAATGCATATACGAGTGAGTACATACTGTGTTCCTCTTTTTGTGACTGGGTTACCTCACTCTGGATGGTTTCTTCAAGTGCCATCCACTTGCCTGCGAATTTCAAGATATCATTATTTTTTTCTGCAGAGTAGTATTCCATTGTATAGATGTGCCACATCCTCATTAACCATTCTTCAATTGAGGGGCATCTAGGTTGCTTGCAGGTTCTTGCTATTACAAATAGTGCTGCTATGAACATAGTTGAACAGATGTCTTTGTTGCATAGATGTGAATCCTTTGGGTATATACCTAAGAGAGTGATTGTCAGATCCTGTGGTAAACTGATTCCCATTTTCCTGAGGAACCGCCATACTGATCTCCAAAATAGCTGTATGAGTTTGCACTCCCACCAGAAGTGGAGGAGTGTTCCCCTTTCTCCACATCCTCTCCAACATGAGTCATCATTGGTGTTTCTAATTTTAGCCATTCTGGCAGGAGTAAGATGGTATCTCAAAGTTAAAAAAAAAAAAAAAAAAAAAAAGAAGTTCTACAGTACCCGTTACCTTCCCTGGGAGTCCACAGTAGAAGAGGAAGTCTAAGGCAAGTTTCAATACTGTCTGATAAAGAATACCTTTGCTGATGCTTAGGAAATTACATGTTATAGAGCGAATCAAATGTTAAGAGCTAGTTCCAGGACAGCCACAGATGTTACACAGAGAAACTGTGTCTATTAAAACAAACAAACAAAAATGGTTTTAAAGTTTGGAAACTACTGATCCAAATAACTAAGGTCAGAACTGGCTCTCTCTCTCTTTTTTTTTTTTTTTTTTTTTTTTGTCCTAAAATCGAAACTTTTAATGATTAGAAGCTTAATTATAACTTCTCTAAACAAAATTGTCTGCCAGAGAAGATGAAGTGTCATTGCAGCCTGGGTTTGAGGTTTCAAGTACATTTACCATTTCTAGTGTGCTCTCTGGTTAGGCTTGATGTTTATGTGAGCTCTCAGCTCTTTTGTCTGCCTGGCCAAGGTAGAAAATTCCTGGTTCTTGCTGCCTTGCTTCCATTTCCCACTTTGATATTGATTGGATCTTGTCCCCCTGAAACTGTAAGTCCCTAACAAATCTTTCCCTATTTAAGTTGGCTTGGTCATGGTGTTTAATCACAGGGATAGAAATATAGCCAGGAAACCTACTCAGCCTTACTCAAAGGTGTGTCACTGAGGAAAACTGTACCTACTCATTCTCTACACTGACAATGAATTATCCCTCTATTGTTGGACTTGAACTGGTAGTATATCTCCCGGGTAGAAGTCCTTTGTGGCAAGTACAAAGCTCTGAATTCCCTCATTTTCTCTGCAATACTTATACACATGAATAAATAATAAAAATGCATGTTCTTTCTTCTTTTCACAGTTATGCTTATCTTCTCATTGTCTTTTACCGATATTGATTTTTTCTATTTTTAATTTTTTTTTAAGAATTTTCATTTTCATTCATTTTTACATACTACCTACCTCCTTTCCTTTTCCCTCCCCTCCTCCCTGCCCCTTCTCCCACTCACTCCCCAGAAAGTGTAAGGCTTCCCATGTTGAGTCAGCACAGCTTAGCATATCAAGTAGAGGCAGGACCAAACCCCTACCCCAAGCATGAAGGTTGAGCAAGGCATCCCACCATAGGGAATGGGCTACAGAAATCAGCTCATGCACCAGGCATAGATCCTGGTCCCACTGACAGGGGCTCTACAGAGAGACCAATTTACACAATTGTCACACACACACACAAAGGGCCTAGTTCAATCCCAAGCAGGCTTTGTAACTGTCAGTCTAGAGTCTGTGAGCTCCCACTAGCTCAAGTCAGCTCTCTATTAGGTTTCCAGTCATGATATTGATCCACTCTTGCATATGTAATTCACTTTCCCTCTGTTCGACTGGTCTCTCAGTGCTTGCCTCAGTATTTGACTGTGGATCTCTGCATCTGCTTATATCTGGTACTGGATGAAGGTTCTATGATGCCAATTAGGGTCACTAAATAAGATTATTTTTATATCCAGAAATAACTGTTACAGTGTTCACCATTTTATACCTGTTCTATTAAATATGTGAAATTCTATGTGATAATAGA